TTGAGTTTACCTTTAATTAAGTACTCATCGTGTCCAAATTTGTTTATCAGATCATGTGTAAATGTATCTAGCTTGTTGGCTTGGTTATTAGTAGAGATGTCACGATACCATGTTTGCTTTTCTGATATAATGACACAGATACCAAAACCCTAAGTATCAGGCAATATCAATATACATCCGATATTTTTTTTCTTTAGAAACTACTATGCATTAAAATTTATTTATGTAAAAAATTTTATATGTAAAAGAACTTTATATGTTAAAAAAACTTTTCCAAATCCAATTCCAATCTTTTCCATTTTTTCACATGATCATATTAAATCAATTCTTTTTTTCTCTGATATCCAATTCACAATTTTTTTTTTTTTTTTGGCTGGAATCAGCTCGATACTGATCTTGGGTTTCAGATTGGTGCCATATCTAGTGATTGGGTTAGGTAGCTAGCTAGTCCAATCTGATCTCATGAACACATATTTGATGCTGGATGCAAGAAGAATATAGCTAGCTATCTGAGTTAATTGAAATCCACCAAACAAACACAAACAGTATTCTATTGCAGTGTTTAATTTGTCTTCCATGTTATTCTAATCAATATGTCCTAATTGATTTGCTTAATGTTAGCTTGTGTGTAGCGTAGGGGTTGCATGGCCTAGGGGAGCTGTTGACTTGTCAGGGTGGTGGAAAAATGGGAAAGAAAGCAGGCTAAATGTACTTTATTAGTCTGAAAATACACTATATGGCCAAAAGTATGTAGACACCTCTCCTAATTATTGCGTTCAGGTGTTTCAGCCACTCCCATTGCTAACAGTTGCATAAAATCAGGCACATAGCCATGCAGTTTCCATAGACAAACATCGGCAATAGAATGGGCCTTACTGAAGAGCTCAGAAACTTTAAACATGGCACTGTCATAAGATGCCACCTTCCCCACAAGTCAGTTTGTGAGATGTCTGCTCTGCTAGATCTGCCCCAGTCAACTGTAAGTGCTATTGTGGAAGTGTCTAGGAACAACAACAGCTCAACCACGAAGCAGTAGACCACGCAAACTCACAGAGCGTGGCCACCGAGTGCTGAAGTGCGTAGCACATAAAAATCACCTATCCTCTGTTGCATTACTCACTACAGAGTTTCAGACTGCCTTTGAAAGCAACACCAGCACAAGAACTGTGTGTCAGGAGCTTCATGTAATCGGTTTCCTTGGCCAAGCACAAGCCTAAGATCACTATGCACAATGCTAAGTGTCGGCTGGAGTAGTGTAAAGCGCTGCCACTGGACTATGGAGCAGTGGAAACGTGTTCTCTGGAGTGTTGAATCACGTATTATTATCTGGCAGTCTGACGGTGGACTCTATATGGCCAAAAGTATGTGGACATCTGACCATCACACCTTTATGAGTTTGTTGAAATCCCATTTCAAAACCATGGGCATTAATATGGAGACTGTAACAGCCTCCACTCCACCTCCACTGCACAGGGGACACAGTCATGCTGAAACAGGAAATGGCCTTCCCCAAACTGTTGGAAGAATACAATTGTCTGAAATATCTTTGTATGCTGTAGCATTAACCCCAATGCCCTACCCCAAACCCTGGAAAACAGCCCCAGACCATTATCTCTCCTCTACCAAACTTTACTGTTGGCACTAGCAATTCCGGTAGGTAGTATTCTCTTGGCATATGCCAAACCCAGATTCACCAGACTGCCAAGTAGTGAAATGTGATTCATCACTCCTGAAAACACATTTTCACTACTTCAGAGTCCAGTGGCAGCACTTTACACCACTCCAGCCAGTGCTTGGCAATGCGCATAGTGATCTCAGGTTTGTGTGCAGCAGCTCGGCCACGGAAACCCATTTTGTGAAGCTTCCGATGCATAGTTCTTGTACTGATGCTGCTTCCAGAGGCGGTTTGGAACTGTGAGTAATGCGTGTGAGTTTAATCACACTACCGCCTGCTCCTGAAGGAATTCCTCCTGCAGTTATTTTTGTTGTCCTTTAGAGCTAAATAAAATGAAATAAAATCCTTACAATGTGGTACAGTGAATTCGGACATGACCAGAGCTGTGTGAAAGAGCACTTTCGGAGCCATGGGTTGCACATCCCTATCCAATCCCACTCAGGTAGTTTAGAGTCAGATCAGTGGGACATGCCAGCTTAAAAAGGCTGATCCAGACATGTTTTCAGATGCTACTGAGTGTGGAATTCAACATGGCAGACAAACCTCCCAGGTGCTGCTGTAGATGTTGCGTCCTCCATCCATCATTAGGCTAGAGCTTCCCCACTGCACATTCTCAGTTTCAGTTTCCAATTTATTTACTTTTGTTGATAACAGTGTAGCCTATAAAGCAGTGAAGCTGTAAATGTAATTTGTAGCCTGTATATGGCTGTTTGGTGCGTTCTTTGCTGCACAAATAACACATCCTAACAATAGTGATGTCCTGAAAGTGTTTTTGCTTTCACTGTGGTTAACTCTACGTTAATGTAGGTCAACCAAGTGATGATTATTGTGAGATCCAATTAAAACTGCAAACTCCCTACTTGCTCGTAGTTTGCAGTGATGAGGGAGCAGCTGCTGGTGTTGATAAGAAGGGTTAGTGGAACAATAAAACATCAGAAACATATAGCAAGCTTCCTCTGCTTGCAAGGGAGCAGTCCAGTTATTCATTTTAGTTAAGGAGAATCCTGTGCTCCCTAAAAGTGCCATGACTAGGAGCAGTGAAGCAGCTCCAGCTGAGGCACAAGGAGTTAAGTGCCTTGCCCAAAGGAAAAAGTCAAACCAACAGACTGGTCATATATACAATTATGTTACAAACACCTTTACAGCTCACCAGCCAGTCCTGGAGTTTAAACAGGGATTCTTCCAGGTCCTGCTTTCTCTCAACACCAGGCTTATGAGCTCCAGTGATGCATACCACTCACATCCTCTAGTTATCTCTAGTCTACCTCTAGTTCTAAGTCTAATTAATGCTTACTTCAACAAAACAAATATTTATAAGTGTTTGGTGACCTGGGAAAGCCTTTCACATAGTGAAATTTTGTCTGAAATATATTTCTTTTTTCCATGTATCTCAACCACAGCTATAGCTCTAGCATATCCTGAAAAAGTGAAAAGGGAGCAAATTGCATAAGATTCCACCCTAACCCCAACATAGATGCCAAGACAACTGCTTTAGCTGATTTCATTGGCCTAATAATATAAAGTTATTTTAGTTTAGCTTTCAGCTTTACTTTGAGGGCATCTACATCCCAATCAGGCGAACAGTGTAGGAATTACAGTATGGTTCATATTGCAACCCCTTCCCCTTTTTTCTGGGACCAAAAGTAATTGGACAATTGACTGCTCAGCTGTTCCTTGGCCAGGTGCTTGTTAATCGCTCAGTATTTCACTTACAAGTAAGCAGATAAAAGGTCTAGCATTCATTTCAATTGTTGCATTTGCATTTAGAATATGTTACTGTTAACTTCCTATATTAAGTGCAAAGTGCTGTCACTGCCCGTGAAGCAAGCCATTATTAGTCAGAAAATAAGTTTCTTCCTTTTAATGCAGCTGTCTTTGGTTGCTGGTTGTTCATGGGACGTTTTGCCTTCAGCAAGTGAAAGCCATTCTCAATTGGATTCAGGTCAAGTAATTGACTTGACCATTGCAGAACATTCCACTTCTTTGCCTTTAAATATTCTTGGTTTGGTTTTGAAGTATGCCTCAGGTCATTGTCCCTCTGAACTGTGAAGTGCTGTGCAATGAGTTTTGAAGCATTTGGCTGAATTTGAGCAGATAATATAGCCCTATACGCTTCAGAATTCATCCTGCTGCTTTTGTCAGCAGTTACATCATCAATAAATACAAAGGAACCAGTTCCATTGGCAGCCATACATGCCCATACCATGATATGAGGTGGTATGCTTCAAATCATGAGCAGTTCCTTCTCTTCTTCAAACTCTTCTCTTCCAGTCATTCTGGTACAAGTTGATCTTTGTCTTATCTGTCCATAGGATGCTGTCCCAGAATGTATGGGCTTTTTAGATGCTTTTTTGGCAAACACTAATCTGGTCTTCCTGTTTTTGAGGCTTACCAATGGTTCACATTGTGGTAAACCCTCTGTATTTACTCTGGTGAAAACTTCTCTTGATTGTTGACTTTGACATAGATATGCCTACCTCCTTGGGGTGTTGATCTGGGTGTTGATCTGGCCAACTGTTATGAAGGGGATTTATTTCCCCAGGGAAAGAATTCTTCTGTCATCTACCACAGTTGTTTTCTGTGGTCCTCCAGGTCTTTTCGTGTTGATTTGGCCACACCTAATGTTTTTGTTGTCTCTCTGATGGGTTTGTTTTGATTTTTCAGCCTGTTAATAGCTTGCTTCACTGACAGTGACAGCTCTTTTGATTTCATATTAAGAGTTAACAGCAACAGCTTCTAAATGTAAGTGCAACACTTGAAATCAACTCTAGACCTTTTCTTTGCTTACTTGTAAGTGAAATAATAATTTGAGGGTATTGGCATCCAATTTGGATACAAATACCCTCAAATTGAAGCTGAAAGTCTGCACTTTGAGCCCATATTCATTATTCTGTTTCAACTCCTATATACTGTGGTAGACAGCTAAAATAACAATACCATTGTCAATGTCCAAATATTTATGGACCTGACTGTATGTAATATATAACCATGAAAACTTCGTTGTTCTTCATGCTAGGGGTTGGGCAACTACTAGTTTTTACTAGGCTACCTATAATTCATAAAAGTTGTTAGTCATATTTTCCATAGTTCAATCAAAAGCTGATTGCAACTTCAGTGTTTTTTAGGATACACTGTTAATGTTGTTGTTCCTCTTTTGGCTGCTCCCGTTAGGGGTCGCCACAGCGGATCATTGATTTGCATATTTGATTTGGCACAGTTTTTACGCCGGATGCCCTTCCTGACACAACCCTCCCAAATTTTTATCTGGGCTCGAGACTGGCACTGAGCGCGCACTGTTGCACGCAACCCCAGTGGCTGGGGTTGGTTCCCTGGCTGGGAATCGAACCCAGGCCACAGTGGTGAGACTGCTGTGGCCTGACCACTACTCCTACAGGGACCTGTTAATATACTGTTAATGATGAAAGTAAATAGATCTGTGCAGTAAATGTTCAATATAATTAATCTCTGTATCAAATTATTTAAGAAAGTACTACTTACGGATGAGCTGGCAGCTCAGCGTAAATGGAAGAGTGGAAGCTCCTTGTAGCTTAATGATGGATGGAGAATGCCATATCTACAGCAGTGTCTGGGAGGTTTTACCGCCATGTGCAGCTCTGGACTTGAGCTGGCATTGTGCTGTTGAACTGACTCTAAACTAGCTGAATGGGACTGAATAGTGATCTGCAACCCGTGGCTCTGAAAGCTTCACTCTGCCACATTGTAAAGATGTATTTTAATTTTATTTAGCTTCAAAGGACAACAAAAATAACTACAGGAGGAATTCCTTCAGGAGTGGGTGGGAGTGGGATTAAAAAACAGTTTTAAAGTGTTAATGGTCCATTAAAGTAAAATAATAATAAAAAAAAAAAAAAGATTTTACCAGTGTAGTCTTCTGTAGTTGACTGTAAATTTGGCTTCATCTCATCGGAAATATTTCAGACTAAAAAGGTATATTTAGTCTGATTTCTTTACTGTCTGCCTGCATTTCCTTACCCTCTGCTTCACTGTTTCTTTTGTCAAGTAGTCTATGCACCCCTACTTCATACCCGCCTTTATTCACTGCCTACAGATTGACCACCGAGCAGTCATTCCCTGTTTAATAGTAATATCCTTTATTTTATATTAAAAAAAAAAAATCCACAAATAACATGAAAGATCAAAATGCCTTTGCTCAGGAACCAATGAAGTCTTGGCACATAGCAGTGTTTCTGAAGTGTAATTTTAGAGTCAATACAAAAATAAACAATTATAATATAAAAAAAGCAGGTAAAAAAAAATCCCAGGCACACTGATGTGAGTAAAGTAATGAAACGCAGCATATATTGATTTTTTTCTCTAAACCGACTAAAAGTAGTAAATAAAGGTAGTAAAAGACTAAAGATTGTCTTTATTTAACAAATATCTTCAGAAAACTGATTTTTGCTCTATTTTTGAAAAAGGAAATAGGAACAGCAGAAATGGCTTTTTTTAAGACGTTTGCTGCTGCAATTTTATCAGATGGGGTTTTACAATTCAGTGTCCTTTTTTCTCTTGTCCCTCATTCTCAGCTTCGACACACAATCAAGGCTGCTTTATATAATGTGACTTCCTGTAATTGGCCTCGCTTATTCCACACTCCTGTGCAACACTGAAGAGCTTAATGTGCTGAAATGTTTGCCAGATGAGCTTTATATTTCTCTACTATTATTTGACAGAGAAAAATCAATTTCTTTTTTTTTTCAATTAATCAATTAGTTGAAATTGAAAAATGATTGGTTGAAATTCATTGTTTAAAAAATACAGTAACAAAATTCAGATGATTGAAGGAACAAATGCAGAAACAAACATACAAACAAAGAGACAAACTAACTAAGACAGACAGATGAATGTAGGAATGACCGAAGGAACAAACAAAGACAGACTGATGAACAAAGGTATAAACAAACAAACTAAAACAGAGAGATGAATGAAGAAACAAACAAACAAACTAAGACAGATGAACAAAAGAATGAACAAAGCAACAAACAATGAAAGACAAATGACCAAACGAATGAAGGAACAACCAATCAAACAAAGACAGACAGACAAAGACAAACAAAGGAATGAATGAAGCAGCAAAGACATATGAATGAATGAATGAAAGAACAACCAACCAAACAAGGACAGACAAGATTTCAGCACAGAGTAATAGAGCTGTCCTAACTTATAGGCACTTTATCAGGTTGTAAACATATGATATATAGACCTATGTGATGTTGGTGTTTGCTTTTTTAAATTGATGAATAAGACTCATAATCCACAACGACTGAATTTACATCAAAGCTGATAGCGCTAATTCTTCACAGACCTGTAGGTGAACGCTGCCCTATTTTGCATCATAAAAAAGATTTAGGCTTCACAGAACAACATCCCGGCATTAATGACCTCCTTCTGTCACAAATTGCGATGTCATTTCTGTCTGGGAATTTGGCAAGTGTGTGAGAAAGTAATCTAAAGATGTGAACATGTCTTAATTAACACCTGATATTTTCCTGCTTTGTGGAAAGAAGAAGGTGACACGTTCCTGACTCTGTGAATTTTCTTCTTCTCTCTTTTTTTTATAGGTGTTACCGAACCAGGTAAGAATGCTACTTTTTTCCTGCTTCTTGTGTATGCTGGACTTTGTTTTCAGGCACTGCATGAGAATATTAGGTCTCGAAAAACAGACAGATTGGGAAATCCATGGTTGGGATTAGCACTGATTGGGCATGGAATCAGACATCTTTTGGTGAGGACTGAGATGCTTGGTCACACTGTGGTGTTTGTATTGTTCCACTACCGCTGCCTTCCGAAGCAAAGGTCAGATTTTCATAAATTGAATTTGATTGTGGGGAGCATGCAGTTCTTTTCTGCTGTCGAACATGCTGCTGCAGTGTTGTTTGCAGGTGCACAAGATCGGACACTTTCGTACAGCCTCCTACGGATATCACTGCAGAATCCGCTTCCGGGTGCGCCTCACGTGCTCTCTAATCTTGTGCTATCGGTTGTGCTCTCAAAGACTTCACACTAATTCTTCATCTCATATCATGCAGCACAGTCTTCGTTATTACAGTATCACAAATCTAAAAATGATATTTACTCATCCAGGTGATGCTTGACATACACCATTTCACATTTAATATTGTATAATAGAGTAAAAATATGATCTGTAAAATATGATCTGTAATTAGACACTGTAATTTCTGGGCAATAATTCCCCCTGAGTGTAAGATATGTTTAGAAATCAATACCCTTACAAAAAGGTTATTTGAGTATACAAAAAAAAATTGTATACATTTATTACATGTATGCTAATGCCTCCTGCATTGAAAAGAAGTACACTAAGTGTTAACTGTACTTACAGTTTACTTTTGCAATACTAGCATGTCCACTTAAAGATAAGTATGCTAGTATATTATTTTTTTAGTATTATATAAATAATATAATAATGCAATAGCATAAAATATTCAGGTCTATTTATATTGGGGCCATGTTAAATTATTGATTATTTTGGAATACAATATATTATATGCTCAGAATAAATTATTATGTATTTTAAACTGTAAGATTTGAATCTCCTTTTATTCAATTACATATTTATAAAGATGACTCATTATCTCTTTCTAATAACAATACCGATTCTGAAAACTTAAGTATCAGCTGATACCGATACCCATCCAACATTTGTTTAAAAAGCTTTCAAATTAGATCCTTTAAATATTTATTTGGAAACACTTCACTTAAAAAAATACAGGAAAAAAAATACATGGCTAAAAACTTGACTTACATAAAACCTTTTCACTTACATGAGAATTATAATAAATACAATAAAGTATAAATATAATAAATCCTAACAAAATCCTAACAAAAAGCACAATCATGTCTCTTTATATGTCAACATTTCCAGTTTCCAAAAAAACATTTTCCAAATCCAGTTCCAATCTTTTCCATTTGTTATAGGATCAGAGTGAATTAGTTCTTTTTTTCTTTTAATATCTGATCCAGCTATATTTGGTGGTATCTGCATGATATCGATCCTGGGTTTCGGATTGGTGCCATGTCAAATTCTAATTGTAATTATTGATTTCTTTGGGAGACTACTGATTTCTTTAGGGTTCCTTATTAGTTTAGTTTATGTGTCTCTAAAAAAAATCTGCATTACAGATAACTTCTGCATAACAGAGTCAGTACAAAAACATTTTATATTTCCCAACATTATTTTTCAAATGCATAATTAAATGTTACAGAAAAAATGTTTGTATGTCAGTAAAGAAAGCAACATATTACATAACAGACCACATTTCACACAAAAAAACATAAACCACTGGTGGGTTGTCACACCAAATATTGACTTGTTTAGTTAATTATTGTTTACTACTCTTGAGTAACTTATAGTTGCTGTATTACAATATACAATATTTTTGTTACATATTCAGTATGTTAAAAAATGCTGGTACTGAGTCTTAGAAACACATAGAGGTCTACTCTAGCTTAGTTTTTATCCTGTTCATTAGTGTTCAGTATATATTATACTCCAAACTGGGCTACTCTGTGCATGATGTATGAATTTTTCTCTCTGCTTCACATAGACCTAATTGTGTATGAAAAATTAAACAGGAACTGAATTTTGTTTCAGAGTAGCAATATGTTCTATGTCAGACATTAAAATTGCTGTTTTAAGCTGTAAATGTTGTTTAGGTAAAAGTATTACGGAGAAGGACTTATAGACTAATGATGCATTCAGAAGTTTCCGACCTCCAAGGAGAAAAAATCCATTTGAATAGCTCTCCAAATTGTAATTACCACTCAGGAAGTCAAGATTCTCAAGTGCTTCTCAGTTAGCACAACTCATAGTCGCCTGTCTCCTGGTTCAATTTGTCTGCAGTTTGGCGCAACAACTGTGCTTTTGTTTGGAAGTGTGTTAATTATTAAAGTGAAAGATTTCACTGTATTTATTGCTGATAAACAGTCATGCAGTACTGAATAAAAGACTAACAAATGGGCATTTATGCTAATGAAAAAATTATATGTCAAATTGCATTATGTCCTATATGTGTACATTTAAATAAAAGCCTGCATTAAGAAGAGGTTTAAAGGATTAGTTTTTCCCTCTAAGTGTATGTAGTTAGAACAGATTAGCACATTAATTGGCTGTTTCCAGAGTTTCAGTGTACTAGCTTTTTTCTTAATAGGTATTAGACCCAAGGCTGCAGTTTGGCCTAATGGTATTTCTGTATGCTAACAGCTAGAAAAATGTATGGCAAGGTCCATCCTGAAGTCAAGACGCCTACTTAGTGAATTTCAACCTGAGAACACTCATAGCAGCCATTTGTAGAGTAATTCTGAATTGAAGCGTTGAAAAACAGTTACTTTATGGATACTACTAAACAGTCATTATTG